CAGCGTTGCTCGTGTTCCTCTCTTTGTTCTGTCACAGTTCCCTTGCCTCCCAGCTGTTCGATGAAATGCCTCAGCGTGCTTGTCTCATTGTTTGCCGACAAAATAACAATACTTACTGCAGATTCTTATGCTGGAGGTCTAACAGCTGCCATTGGTAAGTTTATTGAAAACGCTTTTTCTCCCGCTACAAGACTAAACCTCTCCTTCATTCTAATCCACTATCCCATAAACAAAGGGGCATACCACTTGGAAGAGATGTAAGTAAGGCTCAAGAGCTAGCTCAATCATTTAATGTAAATATTGAACTCACTATACAACTACCCAGATAAACTTCTTTCCTGATATTAAAATAAGCAACGGAGTATTGTGGATACAGAGCCTGGCTCACGCCATTCAGCTTAGGCGAGTTAATCGTCGTAGCAAAGTGATTGCAATTTGGTCTTCATCCTCCCGTACTAGGCTTGCCGACCAGTGACTATATGTTAGATAAAATGCCCATGTCTTACAAATATACAATTTCACGAGCTCCAATAGCCTCTTGCTTGATTTCATGGCCTACGATGCTAATGGTTCCATCCAGTAAACCAACTACCCAGATAAACTTCTTCCTTAATATTAAAACAAGCAACGGAGTGTTGCAGATACAGAGCCAGGCTCACGCCGTTCAGCTTAGGCGAGTTAATCATCGTAGCAAAGTGACTGCAATTTGTTCTTCATCCTCCCGTACTAGGATTGCCGACCAGTGACCATGTGTTTGACGAAATTCCCATGTATTATAAATGTACAATTTCACGAGCTCTAATAGGCTCTTGCTTGATTTCTGGGTTTTCTTCTTGGCATACACATCTGTGTGCTGATTGTACAGTGTCGATAATCTAAAGACAAGAAAGCGTAAAGAGTAGCCGGCCACCTAGCGTGCCACGTCGTCTGCTTTTCGTGGCCGTTCGATCGGCCGCGCGGACGGCTCAGATCGGGCGAGCCGCAGTCATTTTTCAAAAAAACCCTTCTTTTTTCTGGAAATCAACCCGCGCTCCAGAGTCCCTCTCAGGATATTTTGCAAAAAAGACCTCAGATTATTTTGAAATAAACCCGCGGTCCAGAACGGATGGCCTCCGGGTTTTTTTTTCAAAAAAACCCTTATCTTTGTCGAAAATCAACCCGCGCTCCATAAACCCTCTCATCATTTTTTGCGAAAACCTCCTCGGATTTTTCTCAAATCAACATACAGGACAACTTTGATTATATTTTTTCCCCAAAAAACGTAGGTTGAAGGGTCTGCTAGCAAGATGGGCGCGCCCGAAGGACTAGTCTATTCCAGGCTTCAGAGAGACCCCGGCCGCTGCATCCTCTTGATCGGTTCCATCACAAATTGGTGCTTCAACCTAGAAAACACAGAATAAAAGATGTCGAGTTCCTTTCCATATTTTCAGAGAAACAAGATTGAAGCAGCCGCCCTGCTCATCCAGGTAAGAGCAATTGCATAATGAAATCTGCACCTGTGCAACCGGGCTATCCACCTAAATTGATGCAATTTAAAACAGCGAATGTTCTGGTAGTGCGTGGAGACGCAATGACAGCTGCTGCAACATATTAAAGTGTATTGTGAACACACATAATCTATCTGGTTGACTGCCCAAGGGAAGTCCCATTTGATTTTGAATATAGCGGTGTATGAAGTCATCATTAGAGTGTATTAGAACTCAAATATGCCCAGATTAGTTGCAATTAATAGAAGTGTGCATAAGGAACCCGTACTTATTTTCTCTAATGATCAGATTAGTCAAGTCCATCGTCTTATGTCCTTTTTTTCCCTTTGTTGTCCGTACAGTTCTATCCGACTCTGGATACATCCAAAAAGAGTTTCCATGATCCTAAAGCTTTTTCATTCAGCAATGCCACAATACTTAATACTGATACATGTATATTTTTTTACTTCTTACTTCCACTCCTACCTAATGCTAAACCTATTGAATAGTTTGACAAAGAACCATACTGTGATCTACAGCTGATTGGTTTATCAAAGTGAATTGGTTTACCAAGTGTAGAAGTAGAACCTAAGTAGCAGGATTAACTTCTAGCTTACCTCCTGGAAGTTTGCTTTCCCTGTCAGTTGATACTAACTTGTATTTTCTTTAACTGTAGACTGCATCTAAAAGATTGCTTCTTTGGTGTGATAATATGTGAATGATTATTTTTGCCTATGCCATTTTGTATTTCAGGCTATCGTTCCATCGTTCATCACAGGTCAAACAAAGATGATAATGAATCGGAGAGTACGAAGGACACTAAAGCTCACCTGGACAATGCTTGTCTTTGCACCTACAAACAGCCTGTTCGGGAGGCCGTATCGTATCGTGGATTATTTACTGCTGGCTGGTTTGGTGTGAGAGAAAAACACTGTTTCCGACTGGAAATTTACGATCGTTTACGAGCAAGCGAACAGGCTGAAAGTCTTGCTGGCAGCCAAGTCTATGACCTAGTACTAGTACCTTTCTGAGCTTACGATATGAGTTATTTGGTAGTTTATATTTCATATTTATATAGTTGCTGTTTTGTTTTTATTCTGCAAAGTGAGCTCCAACATCATATTCCATATAAACTCACACATGGCAATGACCCAATACATGCAAGCGTGCGGCAACGCCGCTCGTGGTTTCTAGTCTTTTACATATGAATCCTGCCTCCAAAAGCTGGCCAGCCAGCGTGCCACGCCGCGTGCTTTTCGAGGCCATTCGATCGGTGCGCGGACGGCCCAGATCGGGTGAGCCGCGGTTATTTTTTCAAAAAAAACCCTAAACTTTAGTTGAATCAACCCATGATCCGGCCTCTCTCTCTCGGGCTCGTCCATCTCACCGAAGCGGCGCAGACGGGCGCCACCACCAATGAGGCGGGCGCAGTTTCACGTCATGGGCGAAGCCGAGCGCGGCCCTGCAGCCGGATGCGCCCACCACCGACCGCACGGCCCTGCAGGCGTCTCACTCGCGTCTCGCGTCTCGCGCCGCCGCGGCGGCCTCCCGCTCCGCGTGTGCGGTCGGCGCCGTAGCCATAGCAGCCCGCCGCTTAGGCTCACGCTCACGCGCCGATCCTCCCAGCCGCTTCGCCCGCGCCGCCGACTACGCTCACTCGCCGGACGACGCCAAGACCCCGACGGACAGGGACGTGGAGTCGGACGAAGCCGTGTCAGCCCTGTACGAGCGCTGGCGCAGGGCTTTCAACAAGGAGCGTGACCACGCCGAGATGGCTTCAGGCCACTCCTACCTTTGCAGGCCCTTGGGCAGGTGCTGTTCCTGTGAGGACGGGGGCGTTGGTAAGCTCTCTCTCACACACACGCACACACACAGTCTCTGCCTATGGCTTTTGGTTATTTGCCTATTTCTTCTCTCTTACTATGCACAGCATGTGTTTGATAAAATGCCTGTAAAGAGATTATGGAGCCAGCTACATCTAGGATTATTTGAGAATAAATCCTAGACTATCACAACAGAACCTTTTAGTTTTCTATCTCTTTTCAGTTACAGTGCTCACCATAATTTTCTCGATCCCTATTCCTCTTGGGTTGGCTATTTATTTTCTTAAAAAAAAGGTACTGCTGAAATCCATACAAGTAGATACTCCAATTTAGCACTGCTTATGTGTAGCAAAGATTTGGCTAATCTGTGCAGATGTATATCCTGAGGAGCAAAGTTCATTTGGTGCTAGATGTTATCCTGAATCATGCTAAAGGTACCTGAGTTATCATGTCCAACTCAGCTCTAATAACTATCAAAGCAGAGAAAAATGGGTCATATCAGTGAAAAAAGAAACGTGTTTTACTTGAGCAATTTAATACAACCATGTTTGGCTCTGCTGAAAGCTTTGAATTTAAACTCAAACATCATGTAATATTTGCCTTATATACTATTTCAGACATTCTCTTCCATTGCAACATCCTGACTCTGAACTACTATACCTCCATCTTTCTTCTGCTATATTTGGTGTTGATTGCTAAAGCTCTCCACATAACTTTCTCAACTCATCGACTTCTCCTAATTTGGATTTTAGCTGGCCTACTATCTCTCTCCTTCTGTAAATGATTTGGCTAATCTGTGTAGTTAAATTTTTTACTTTGTTTTAAAAGCTTCAGAACTGCAGCCACTGCCCACTGCTATAGCCTATAGGCATGATCCTTTTGTTTTCTACAACTACAGCCACGCGAACAGTTCCAAAATTTCCTTCTCAGCTGTACAAATAGAGCAACAGTAACAGAAGCTTTTTAAAATTGGTTATCTCTATATAAGAAAAAAAAAGTGCACCAAGACCTACCAAAATTTAACCAATTGGAACTCATTTCATATTTAATTGAAACCTTCCAATATGCTAAACTAACAATTGAAAAAAAAACAAGTAAAAATAAAAATAGTATCTCTGGCTGCAGTTCCCTGTATCATGGTCATGCTTATCCTATTCTCCAATCTCCATAGTTCCGAAACTTAGTATAGGGATACATACCCAAAAGAGCACGTTTTACATAATTTCTAAACAAAAGACAGAATTGGAAGAGAAGAATTCTGTAGCCACAGTTAGGCAAATCATACTTTTTTTTTAGAATGATCTCCTTAATCAGGTTGTACACGTACACGTCAGTACGTATGGAATCCGTTCTATTACTACATGGCGAGTCTCCAAATGGACTCACACAACAGTATGCAGTCTGGCCCAGACACAGGCAACGCCGCGCATGATTTCTAGTACGGTCTGAAAGCCCAGACGAATGGCCCAGTAGTAGTAGTGGCCCACCTGACCAAACAAACCCTAAACCACCGATCCGACGGCGGGGATGTCCCGATCAAACCACAAAATCCTACCCGTCACCGCCCCCTTATATAAATGGCTCGCCCTCAGCGCGCCGCCGTTCCTTCGCGCACACAAGCAAACCCTCCTCCCCTCCGCCGCCCGCCGCCCGCCGCCCGCCCGCCCGAGGAGGAGGAAGAGAAGGCGAAGGAGTAGCAGCACCGGGCAAGATGAAGACGATCCTGGCGTCGGAGACGATGGACATCCCGGAGGGCGTGACGGTGACGGTGGCCGCCAAGCTGGTGACGGTGGAGGGCCCCCGCGGGAAGCTCACCCGCGACTTCAAGCACCTCAACCTCGACTTCCAGCTGCAGGAGGGCGGGCGCAAGCTCAAGGTGGACGCCTGGTTCGGCACCCGCCGCACCATGGCCGCCATCCGCACCGCCATCTCCCACGTCCAGAACCTCATCAAGGGCGTCACCAAGGGGTACCGCTACAAGATGAGGTTCGTCTACGCTCACTTCCCCATCAACGCCTCCATCACCAACAGCAACACCGCCATCGAGATCAGGAACTTCCTCGGCGAGAAGAAGGTACCCATCTTTGTTTCGTGCGTGAAGTAGCAGATCAGATCTGGGAGGGTTGTGGTGTGTTCTGACTTGTGTCTGACTGGTTGGTGTTCATGATGATCCCGGGATGGCCAGGTTAGGAAGGTGGACATGCTTGAGGGCGTGACCATCCTTCGGTCCGAGAAGGTCAAGGATGAGCTCATCCTCGACGGCAACGACATCGAGCTCGTCTCTCGCTCCGCCGCCCTCATCAACCAGGTGAATACCTACCTATTGATTGCATCCCGTCTGTCATCGCTTATCATCTCTTACTGGTACATATACGAGGTGGCTGCTGTATGCAGTGTCGGATGTGCTTTGGTGTGGTAGATCATGATCCTTGCATTTATTGCTCTGTTATGAAGCAATTATTGCTGTTGTAGATAAATTTTAGTAATCCAATATCAAATGATAGGGTTTTATCACATTGGCTGTGCCTAGATGGTAGGAACCAGGTGGTTTCTGCTTGAAATGTCCAGGTAGATCACATTTTAAGTTCATATGACACTAGTGCTGTCAAATACAAACTAGAGCTGTAGTCCTGCATCTCGAGATGTATAAATATCCATCATTCATGTGTTCAGCAATTTCAGTTTATCATTTTGTGCTCTCAACAAGTGTAGCATTTTAAGGCTCTGTATTTAGTAACAGCGAGCACCTAATGCCTGGAAAATGTTATGATTGATCTTAGTCCTAACTGTGGAAATGCGCGTGTAGTAGATTAACTATGTGATGAATTCAGTGAGAAACTATTGTTGTCTTGTTTCATTTTTGTACCTGTTGCTGACATTGTGATATTTTACACATGGTATGTCACTTTCTAGTGCAATGCTTATGTCAACTATTGTTCCTGCTTCTATTTTGATCTTTGTTTTCCTCTTTGAAGCGCATCATGAATTTACTAGTTTTGTTGATTGCTGTTATATAATTCTCATTACTACTGGTGGATTTGGATTGATGTGCTATGATTTGTGTTGCTGAACGAGTTTTCTCCATTTCTCTACAGAAATGCCATGTCAAGAAGAAGGATATCAGAAAGTTCTTGGACGGTATCTATGTCAACGACAAGGGTGTGATCGAGGAGGAGCAGTGAGCGACAAAGTAGCAAAAATGCCTGGAGATGATCCAGAAGTGCTACATCTGCCTGCCATGTTGCTATTATCGTTTGGGTTGCAATTTTCCGAGACTGAATTTTGTACTTGGTTAGGATGTGTTATGGAGCATGCTATCTTATCCTACATATTGTCGTCTCTTTAAGAATATGAACCTTGTTTCTCATTCCCTAAAGATAGTTGACTGCCAGTGTTTGTGGTTGAAACGAAAACCGGAGGTTTATTAACTGAATTTGCGTATTCGATTGGATTGCCATGCTGACTGCTACGCGTTCATCCTGTTTTGAATTTTGCATCTCAGTTTAAATTCTATTTTCAAAAGGTCAATGGTTTGAAGTACCCAGGAAAGGTTTAGCCCTTGCTGTTTTTCTATTTCATTACACCAACACGCTGTTGGAACTCGGATTGAGATTCTGAATGGGGCACTGATATGTTGTTTTACTTTGATTTGATTCGTTTCAAATTTCACTTTCACATTGAATATTTTATCTAAATTTCCTAGTTGGAGCCTGTACGTGTATTCACACTTTCGCGCATAGCAGTATTGGCAAAATATTTCATGTCCTTAAAAGGTATGGACATTGCTAATACAAGATTGCAAATTACTAATGTCTAAATGTATCCACCTATCATTAGCAGTTCAAAAAATAAGTCTGAACTCTAGCGAAACCTGGTTTTTTTCAGAACTCTATAAAGCAAGCATTCTTCTAGCGAGTGTGCGACAGAAAAACACAAAGTTCATGTTGAGTTCAGCAGCAGATTCTTCTGAGCACGAACATGCCATATCCGATGCCAAGAAACGTGGCAATGGAGATCCCGAAGATGCCGACGAGGATTCCGGGCACCACGAGCGAGGTCCAGCCTTTGGCCGTGGCCATGGCGGCCGCGGTGGTGGGCCCGCCGACGTTGGCGTTGGAGGCGATGAGCAGCGGCTTCCTGTCCATCCCCATGATCCTGCCGGCCGCGAGCACAACGGCGAGGTGGACGGACACCTGGACGAGCGCGAAGGCGAAGACGCTGGGCGCCCGGGTGACCGCGTCCACGACGTTGCCGTTGGCCCCGACGACGGCGAAGAAGAGCTGCATGAGGATGAGCGCCAGGGACTTGCCGGCCGGCGCGAGCCTGCCGAGTGGGCCCGGGAACGCCGTGGCCAGGAACACCACCAGCGCCGTGACGCACGGCAGCGTGCCGCCCTGGAGGCCCAGCCGCGCGGCCATGGCCGACCCGGCCTTGCAGATGATGAAGGACAGCGCGACCGCCGCGCCGCCGTTCAGCACGAACAGCCGCCCGCCCCCGCCGCCGCCTTCATCGGGCTCGCCGTCCTTCTGCGGACTCTCCGTCGCCGTCTTGGGCTCTGCTGGGATATTGGACGCCAGTGAGAAGAGCGCCATGAAGTAGAGCGCCGAGATGAGGTTGTCCGCTGCGACGCCGGCGGCGAGGACCGATGGCGTGAGGCCCAGAGCTTCCGAGATGGCGACGTAGTTCACCGCTGCTCGTTGCAGTCGATGATGTCATCAGTGGGCAGTGGCAGTGATGAGTGAGAGTAAGCAAAGCATTTACAGTTACCTCCGCCAATGTAGCTGCCCATGAGTGCAGCTGCGATCTTCCAGCTATCTTGGCCCAGCGATCTCATGGGGATCAGCAGGTACGCCACCGTCGTGCCGATTACAGTTGCGACTGCACACCAAAATGTTCAACATTCATTCGATTGATTGATAGATGAGCCTGAGGCCTACGAAAAGAAAAGAAAAAAGATGCGATTTTGTCCGCAACCAGATCCGAGAAGGAAGGCCTTGAGGAGGTCGCCGGTGGTGCGGACGACGCGGCGGAGGTCGGCGCCGAGGAGCAGCAGCGGGACGGCAGCCGGCAGCAGGTACTCCATGACGGCGTCGTGCGCCGGCGCGCCGGGGGTGACGAGGCCGACGGCCGTGGCGGCCAGGCCGGCCATGATGCTGACCAGCGCCCCGCTGAGCGCGGCGCCCCATGACGTGTTCTCCTCCGCCCTTCATATATTTGCCATTCAATCCATTTCGTCAACGTTACACGGGGCGTAGGGCGACTGGGCGAGGCAGACAAGCAAGCTCGGGTCAGCCGGTCGTCGGTGGCTTACCATGTGCCGAACGCGGCGGCGGAGAGGAGGAAGGCCCAGTTGCCCCAGTGGTCGCCGGGCGCGATGGCCACCGCGGCGGCGGGCGGGCGGAGGGCGTGGCGAAGGCGAGGGGAGGAGGAGGCCCACTTGTCGTGGCCGCCGTGGTGATGCCGGATAGTACAGGTTTGTGGGCGAGGCGGCGGAGGAAGAGGAGCCGACGGTGCTGCGGCGACGGCGAGGGGTGGTTGGAGAGGACCTCTTTGTCCTGTTGGGGCGCGCCGCGCCTGCGCCATGTGTTTGCTTGCTCTTGTGCACTGGACACCGGTGCTGCCGGCCGGCCGGCCCTTTCCTCCTGCTCCTCCTGTCCGTATTTTTCTTGCCATTTTACCTGTCCTTTTACGGCACAATTTTTTGTTTTCTCGCATGGAGAAAGTGACATGGAGTCTTATGCTCATCTTGTCTTATATTCTACTGATGATGGTGAAATGTTTGTGACCTTTATTTTCTTCGTTTTCTTCTTCAGAAGAAAGGATTTTACGTATAGGATGTTTTCTTTTTTAGAGAAAAATGAATTTTACTAATCTACGACGAGAGTCAAGATACCAAGCCGACTGAATCCCTCCAAAATTCCAAAGATGCAGGCGGCCGAACCTGGACCAATATTCGGCTGCATATGTCAGTGTAGCCATGCTGCCACTTGTCAGTTGCCCCTGTCCGTTCCACCAATTTCCAAATGTTTGGTCCCCGGCGATGCACATCATGAGTTCATGACAGCATCTAACCTTGATTAGCACCGCTTGACTACCACTCTGTTTCTTTCTTCATAAAAGGGTTCCCTTTGAAAGAAATCTATGAGAATCTGCTAGGAACAGCCCCGAGCCGACCTGCGTCCTTAGACCTGCAATTCTTTCATAGGGAAGCATTGGATCTGTCAGCCCTTGATACTCCAATCACGGAGGAAGAAGTTTGGGAAACGATCAAGTCACTGCCAGCAGATAGAGCCCCGGGCCAGACGGATATACTGGCAGATTTTACAAGGCTTGTTGGCAGGTGATAAAAGCATATCTCATGGCGGCAATTATCACTTTACAGCAAGGTGATGCAAGGGGGCTTGGATTGTTAAATGGAGCATATATCACTTTGATCCCCAAGAAGAAAGATGCATTGACTGCAAAAGACTTTCGCCCTATCAGTTTAGTGCATAGCTTCGGTAAACTCATAACCAAGATTCTGGCAAATCGGCTGGCCCCCTTCCTGGACTCACTGATTTCTACTGATCAGAGCGTATTTGTACGTGGAAGATGCATACATGATAACTTCATTCTAGTGCAACAAACAGTTAAGGTGTTACATCGACAAAAGGTGCCTAGCCTCTTTCTCAAGCTAGATATCTCTAAAGCTTTCGACTCGGTGTCGTGGTCTTTTCTCTTAGAAGTGCTGCAACATTTGGGATTTAGCTGTTCGTGGCGCAACTTGGTGGCCAATCTGTTATCATCATCCTCAACTCAAATATTAGTGAATGGAGAACCGGTTGAACTCTTACGGCATCAGCAAGGTCTTCGACAAGGGGACCCTTTATCCCCCATGTTCTTTATTCTAGTGATGGATGTGCTTAATAGTTTGTTTGTGAAGGCAGGGAATGAGGGGCTGTTGCAACCGTTATCCCCACGTGTGGCTGGCCAAAGACTCTCCCTATTTGCTGATGATGTTGCCTTGTTTTTCAAGCCACTTGAAGAGGAGCTGCAGATTACTAGAGATATTCTCAAGGTGTTTGGGGATGCTTCAGGGCTGCAAATTAATATTCAGAAAAGCAACATTATTCCCATCAGCTGTGCAGATGGGTCTTTGGCAGCAATTCAAGATACTCTTCCAGGAACAATCTCAGAGTTCCCATGTAAATATTTGGGCCTACCGTTGTCTAATAAGAAGCTTCTTAAGAGGGATCTTATGCCATGGATTGAGAAAATCGCTGACAAACTCCCGTGTTGGAAGGCGGCTCTCATGAACAGGGTTGGACGTGCCACGTTAGTCCGGTGTGTTCTCTCCGCCATGCCTATTTATTTGTTAATCGTCATCAGCGTCCCAAAGTGGTTCATCAAGGCAGTGGATAAAATCAGAAGGGGTTTTTTATGGCAGGGAAAGGAAAAGGCTAATGGAGGTTGTTGTTTAGTGGCTTGGGAGAAGGTCATGAGACCGTTGGAACTTGGTGGATTGGGCATCCCCAACTTGGAAGTGATGGCCTGGGCTTTGCAAATCAGGTGGCAGTGGTTTAAAAAGACCAAAGCTGATCGTCCTTGGGTTGATCTGGAGCTTCCCTCGCACCCTAACTCAATAGCTCTATTTGCCATCGCTGTCACTACAGGGGTAGGGACTGGACACAATACTATTTTCTGGACTGACCGGTGGCTGCATGGGTGTTCAATTGAGAATCTTGCGCTAGCGGTCTTTGCTTGTGTCTCTTCAAGAATTCGCAAAAGGCGGACTGTGGCTGAAGCTCTCACCAACATGGTGTGGCCAAGGGACATTCAAGGAGGTCTATGTTAGGATTGATGAATGTACCTCTCTGTGTAACCCGTAGATCCGGGTAGTCCTCTGCTCTGGATTCCTCTGCACGCCTGGCTGCAGCCTCGCGGACGTCGGTACTTGGCACGGTGGTGAGGAGGCGAGGTAGCGATGCCGTGGAGGTCCAGAGGGAACGGTGGTGACCCTGCAGAGGCAACGGCGGTGGTGGCGGGCTCATCCCGTCGCTGGCAGCACACTTTAGGATCGGATTAGGGTTTTCTCTGTAGGTGGGTGGCGGCTCCATTCAACCTCATGACCCGAGCTCAGTTCCCCTCTCCTCTATATATATGTGCTGTGCGACAGGGGCCCACCAACCAGTTAGGGTTGGCC